AGTTAAAAATGGTAACAAGGATGGGGAGGAGCCAACTACCTGTTTTACTAATAGTGTTTTAGGGACCTGTGCAAGATGACAAATTATCTCATATAGATGTCTACAGTTAGGAGCCAACTGCCACTTCCTCCTTCTTTCTGCCATTGGATGATTTCCTCCTAGTCCTGCATCCTCCATCTCTTAATGGGGACTACTACAGATGGAGTCAGAAAGAACCTTGCGTGATCTTGCTTTGAACAATGGATATGAAATTGTCAGTGTGAGGTATTGACTTGGACACACATTCATTCAATTAATGGTGCTATAAAATGAGGAAAAAGCCACAATTATTTCACAGAATATGTGTAATACACACAAGTAACTTTGTGGCTGGTTTCTGTTATACCTTTAATTGAACATGTGGCCAGTGCTCCCAGCTGAGGGAGAACACTGGAGTCTTTCAAGACTCTTGTGTGCTTTAGAGGCTGGGAGCTCCCAATCAGGATTCCCAGCTGAGGGAGCGCACCATGTTCTCTCCTGGCTGGGAGCCCCAGAGAGCTGATGCATGCCCATGGTTGGGAGCTCTGATTGGGAGCTGGGAGCCAGGAGCCCTAGACAGCTCCCAATCAGGGCTCCCAGCCACAGGAGTGCAGGGAACTAAACTTGCTACTTACCAGTCTTCCTTTATAGTAGCAGTATGGTACAGTGGGAACTGATGCCTGATCTCACAATTGCACTTCCTGCATCAGATCCCATCATGTCTTTAAATTAACATCTGTCAGGGACCCATGAGTCCTTATCTAATATGCAAGTAATTTTGAATTCCCATCTCCTGCTGGCTCAAGCTAGACCTTCTCCTTCTTGTACATCTTCACCTGTAATAAAGATCTAGTAGTACAAATTAATGCCTTCAGTGACACCTGTGCAGTCCCATTACTCTCATTCCTGTTTGTGCTTATTACTCTCAGTCCTGTTTGTGCTTCACCAGCAAAACTCTTAATAAGTTCCAAGCTGTTACACCTATGCGGCCCCATTGAAGATAACAGATGTAACTGTGTAGAACTTGAGAGTTCTATTGGGGATGCACAAAAAGGGATATAACCCAACTCAGTCTCTCTTACCTGTGTTGGCTTTGCAAAGCTATCAGGGTTTCAGCACAGTAAAATCTTATTTATGCCACAAAAGTCAGCAAGTTTCTTCCAAATGTACAGAGATTTGAGATCTGCTGAGTCAGAAAGAGCCAAGTTTATAAAGCCATTTTTCAAAATGCTGCAGAACATTGCAATTCACGTGTCTCTAAGAAGGCAGCATGCCATATTGGGTACCCAATGTACAGAGTACAATAATTAGTACCTGTATTGAAACAATGGTCAGCAGCAATTTAGCTGCCTGGGTGCTAAGCTGCTCCTATAGATGGACCCCCTTTTCCAGGAAATTCTGCTTAGTCATTTCTCCTGATTGAGGAGGAGGCCTGGCTTCAGGACTGGCTATGAGCCAAGAGCAGCAGTACACCTTAGCAAACTGCATTTCTAGTGCAGTGGATGAGTCAGCAGCAGCGTGTATCCAAAGGATGCCTTGCAAATCATTTGAGAGCTGTAAGGTTTTCCTGGCACTGTATGTTGATCTCCATCCTGATACTATGTAGCTTTGTTAGCACGAACCAGCCCTCCGCCAACTGCTACAAATTACTGTAGTACTCTTGACTTGTTTGAACTTATAGAGATCTTACACCAGCTGAGGATCCAGTTTATGGAATCTGTAGAAATACATTTTGTACCGTGTTTTTGTCCTCCCCTAAATGTTACAACAAAGTGCCTTTGTTAACCTGGAAAAGTGTCCTTATAAAAACTGGGTGTATCTACATATGTTATTAAGGTAACATGATAAACTCCAGTACAGTTTGCACTGGAATTTATCACAGCACCTTAATAGCACATGCAGATGCTCAGACTACTGCGGTCCAGGCCATACAAGCAGGCACTGCACCCAGGGCCACAGCAGTTTGATCCAGAGGGGAGCAGCCCTGGGTTGGCAGGGGACCCAGGGCATCGGCAGTGGGCTCTGGGAGGTGGCAGGCAATGGAAGGGCTGTCTGGGGCATGAGAGTGCCCCAGTGTGAGGAGAGCTGTGGCTAGGCAGCAGGCAGGGGTCTGGCCCCCTGCTGCCTGGGCTGACCAGGTGCAATGTACATGAGTCAGCATTTACATGTGCATTTAGGTGCAGTTATTTTTGCTGCCATAAGATAGTACTGTCCCCAACAATACTATCTCACAGCAGCAAAATTAGTTTGCCGTGGTGTAATAGAGTCGTATGTATAGACTGTTATGCTTTACACTGCAGCAAATTAGTCTGCTGCACAGTTAAGTGTATATGTAGATGCACCCACTAAATTTTGCTTATAATTAAATAATAGTATATGCTTGGGTTGTTAATTGGAGAACATTTTGAAATAGCAAGAAAATGCAATGTGTTCTCTCTTCACAACAAAAAAAACCATTCCCTTTGGAAGGACTAAATTTATAGTGTAGTGAACCAATCATGATGAGCAAGTAGATTACCATAGACATAAAGGCTAACAAGAATGATGTGTTGTCATTTTGTGCCCTCTCTTCCCCATCCCCTGTCTCCTTCACATTCATTTACCCACACTTCTGCCGTAGTGCAATTAAGTTGCCCTGTTCATTGTCAGCAGTAGTAATGCATCAGTACATTACTCAGTAATACTCATGCTACAGTAGTAATGCATAAATACAACTTGGCTAACACTCAACACAAATGAATGGAAATGTTCTCCGCCAACACTTACAGACGTGCCCCACACATTTCCAAGAGAGTACCATATCAGATGCATTGAATTCCCTGCTTCTTGGTTTTACTATTCTACATGCTAGCTAGTTTTTATCATACCTCCTTATTTTAATGTCATTTTCTGTCATTTTCTAACACTGACATTCTATTAATTTCTAACATTGTACCAACTAAATAACAGAAAGAGTAATTTGCTTCAGCCATCTGAATTATGTGGCCAAGTGTTATACATATGTGCCATTAGGTCCTGTTCCTACTCCCCTTAAGGGCAATGGTAGTTTTAATTAAACATTTAAGTACATTGTCTCTGATGTCAGTTTGCATTGATTTTACTTTCTCAAAGTTAACCCCATTGACCAAGTCCTCTCCTTTTCTCTCCCTCTCCCCCTCTCATGCTATTATTTTAATATGTACATTTGTTACTCTTTTTAAAAGAGGCAAGTGACAATAACCCCCTACCCAGTTGCTGCAGTGTCAGGACACTAAACAAAATGTCATTCATTTGGCTCTGGGGGAAGTCATGCCAGCACTTGCCTGTAGAGTCTAGCTTCAAGTAAAATCCATATGTAATGCTTCTGTCAGCAAAGTCTTGCTAGAAGAGAGTTTATAATAAATATTCACATCTGCTGCTTTGGACACCCTAATCCATCCTCCAGATCTTTGCTGTGTCAGGCTTTGTTCTAGATGAAGAAGCCTGGTAGTTATAAAGGTTTGCAAATAGGGCATATTTATCATAGTTAGCTTTACTCCTATACTTCCCTCTCCTGTACAAATATCCATGGACGCTCTAAATATAACCTGTGGTTAAATGCTCTCAGTGTGTTTTCAAGACAGCCTAAATGATTCCTTAATAAATGGAGAAAATAGCTTGTGTTTACCTCACATGCTGTCAAATAAAGCCATTCTATCATATGAGCAGAACAAAAATCACCATTGTCATAATGTGGTTTGAAGGCAGGAACAGTATTTTTCTTAGACTGTCACATAAAAGACCCTGTGGTTTTTCACATCACCCTGTAACATTTTCCTTTGGTCCATATTCTTCCATGCATACTTGTACTGAGTTTTAAGTCCCTATGGACTACTTGTAGAGTAAGTTATATGAGTGAAGGTGCCAAAACATAGCCTGTTTTCCCTAATTTTCCTTAAAAAAAATTAATGCTTCCAAACCATAACAACTTTGTAAATGTTAGCATTAATTTAACTTCTACGTGTGATTATGTCCCTGCTTTCAGGAAAAAAAAAATAGGCCATAATCATTCTGAGGGTCTATGTAACTTGCTTGTAATAGCAAAAAGTGTTTGACCAAGATCATGACTTGAAATACAATAAACACTGTGTTGAGAGCACCACATCTGCCTTGAAATGAATTTATTGATTTTTTTTTTTTTTTTGGTACGTGAAACTCATGATTATTACAGTTAATTTTTAAGCAGAGAGACTCTCTCATCTGGTGGTTGGGAAAACAAGGGGTGATTCAAATGTACTACTTACCAGCTGTTATCCATCTTTTTATTTAAATAGAAATATAATACATTTAAAAATGCATGTTGGGCTAGTTCAGACTGACAGTATATGGAGGCAGATTGTTCCATGAATAATATTATTTATATAAATAATACATTTATTGTTTCATAAATAAGCTTTAGACTGTTAAAATTACTTCTAAATCTATGTCTATACTATCTTTTAAATTAGGAAAGTATTTTACAGAGGCTGAGGAAATTATGTAACCTTTTCTCCCTGAAGGTCAGTGGGATTTAGGCAGCTAATTTCTCATGGGATGCATCTTTTTTTTTTTATATTGATACATAAGAGAATTTATATTAATGACAGGCTTGATTATGATATACTTACAAAACAGAGCATCTTATACCCTGAGTTGCCCTACTGATTTCAGTAAAATTATCTAAGTACTAATATTTTGCAGAATGTAGGATCAGAATATGGCCCTTAATAATTGTATCAAAATAAAAATAGAATAGCTGAGTTCCCCGTGACTGACACCTCAAGATCCTCAGGTTCACTTAATCACACAGGAATCTAATCTCATTATTATTGATCTATCTGACTTTCCAATAAATTATTTCAGGCACAGTAGTATGCAAAATATGGGTTCACTAAGTGGCTGTGCATACCAGCAGACCTGAAACTGCAAACATTGCTCTTTTATTTGGCCTCCTCAAACTCTAATAACTTTGTTTTGGATTTCAGGTCATGTTATAGCCCTTGCAAGCAATGATGGAACTGTTAAGGTTCTGGAACTCAAATCAGGGCAACTTTCCAGCCTGGTGGGTCATGAAGATGATGTGCAGAGTGTTGTTTTTGATCACAAAGCAGAGCACCTGCTTTCCGGAGGTGCTGATGGCACTGTTCGACTCTGGACCTGAGAACTAGAATCCTGTTTTAACAAGCTCTTGGTTTCAAAGCCTTATGGAAATGATTTGATGACATGACAGCAACAACTTAGTTAAGTGTCTTCACAGTTAATGTTTGCAGTAGGCATAATTGCACAAAATTATTATAATTGTCTATTTTATCCAAATAAAATCCCAGATTTCTCTGCCTTTGTATTGATAGTGTGTTTTTTTGAACATCAAGAATTTTTCATTTGGTTGTTTCTAGAGAAATAGCTTTACAATGACGCCTAATGACAGACTAGATGAATTGCAAGGAGATTGATTTTTAATGTAACAGAACAAGAGACACAAGAGCTTGGCTACTTTTTTTTTTAATTCTCTCTTCATCAAATCCAGCCCGTGGGAAGAAGTGAAGTTTTAATAATGCAACAACATGGGATTTTTTATGCAACAAACGGTTTGCATGCCGGCAGGGCAAGAATGAACAAGAGTTTGTGAGAGATGCCATGACAGTAATCTTTTGCCTCATCATTCAGTAACTGCAGAGAGCTTAAATCTAAATACTGGCACTTCCTGGAACTTAGCCCTGCAGTCTGATCTGGAGCACATTCTCTTAAGAATTAAAATGGGCTGGGGGGAGGGAGGGAGGGAGGATGTGGTCCGATGCATGTAAAATATGTTTAGGTATGGTTAGAAATCGCTTTCCTTCTTAGGATGGTATCCAAGGAAATAAGTGATCCCAAGAGAAGCTCTGGAGGGCTCTTAGTTTCTTTGCCCAAGAGCGGACGGCGAGGAGGCGAGCGTGCCGCCCTGTGATGCATGATGCCGGGCTGGGGCGCTGACCGTGGTGCTGAACGAATCCCGGCTGCCGGCAGAATGAGCTCCAAGGCTGCGCCTGTCGGGCTGCCGCTGTCCGCGGTGCTGAACGCAAGGGAAAGTTACTCCCGTGCTTGAGATCAGAAATACCCCCGTGGGTTGGGAGAGGTTGTCGAAGCAACGTATCGTGATGGTGTTGACTGCATTTCAGCCTGATCTGGCTTTGAGCTCCAGCATACTCTTGCCGTTTCTAGTATCAACAGCGTAGCAAAATAACCAGCCGGCTTGCTGTTGCAAGCACTGAGTGGAAAGGAGCAGTTGTGTTTGGGGAAGGGAAATTGCATCCAAAGACCTGAACCAAAAAAAAAAAAAAAGAATAACTTGGACACGATGATTGTGCTGTTTGGATCTGGATTGTTACAAGGCAGCCTTGCCTCTGGACCTCCTTGTTGCTGCTTGCTTTGAATTCTGAACACTGGCTTAAAGCTTATTTCTCATGTCTTGGCTGCTGGGCTGCCGTTTTCCTGTGTTTTCAAATGGGAGGTGGAGGAAAAAGGATTGTTCATGATTCATCACTGAAAATGTAATGAAGAGGAACAGCTTTTACTGATATATTTCTAACCTTTTAGTCCATGTTGGCCTGTGACCCCCTCCAGCTTTCATCCTGAGCCTGATTTCGTAAGTATGCATAATTCACTGGGGTAGGTGGAGGGGAGGGGGGACCTTTACTCAGAGTAAGACACTATCCAGCATCTCTTTTAATGAGAAATTATAAAAAGTTCAGTTGTAAAGTAATTCCCAGCTGTGTAGGGTTTGTTTACTTGTTGAAATTTTTCTGTAGTGTAGATCTGAATTCTGCTCAGTTTCCATTCTGTTCATTAAACTGAGTCTCTGAAGTTGCCAAGGGACATCTGAGATGACCACAGGCTATAACAACATATAACTGA